TCTGCAGTATTTCTGTCCATTGTTATAGATGGACAACTTTGTGGCATGTCGGAAACATACGCAGTTATTTGAGATTACTTGGCACGGCTTGTGGCGAGTGTGTCATCGTTTAGGCATGCGGTTTGCACAGTGCTAATTGGGTGTTTATAGACTTCTGTTGTTCGTTAGCTGCCTCAGCCTTGTAGCGCCAGGGCAAAACTAAAGCAGCAAACCTCAGACACCGATATATGCCTTGGGTGTACATTTGGGGCAAGGGGATAAATTAGGTGCATGAGATTTTTCAAAATTATTCCATTAACCAAAAACAAGTAAATGCTAAATTAATTAATTAAATAAAGGGATGTAAAATCCTCAACCTTTTTAATGAAATGTTAAAATGACGCTGTTACACTACATGTTTGTAGTATGTTCATTGTGAGTAATCAAGGTTTCTTCTGAAATAAAGGCTGTTATTAGGGGGTTTGGCTCCCCTTTGCTGCAGTAACCATCTCTACTTTTCTGGGAAGGCTTTAGATCTTAGAACATCGCTGAGGATTTGATTGTATTCAGCCACAGGCGCATTAGTGAGGTCAGGTACTGATGCTGGACGATTAGTTCTGGATCACAAACACCACTCCAGGTAATCTGGTATTGGATGGAGCTCCAGCACCTAAGAGAACGCAGCTCCACTGCTCCACAGCCCAGGGCCGAGGGGCTTTGTACCCCTCTAGCTAACATTTGGCATTGGGCATGGTGGTCTTAGGCTCATGGGTGGTTGCCACAGAATGTCCCATTCTATTGGCAGTGCTTTCTGTGGAGATTAAATAAGCTGCACCTGTTAAAGCTGCTAATTGCTGATTGCAAATTGCGTCTGGTTAGTTTTGGATGTGTATGATTAAATTATGCTACATGTCTAATGTGCTGGATTTTTGGTGTAGGCTTCAGTTGCCTCTCTCAAACTGCACAAATCAGTATGATGACCTTAAAATCGATATATGCCTTGGGTAATGGTGTACATTTGGGGCAAGGGGATAAATTAGGTGCATTAGATTTTTCAAAATTATTCCATTAACCAAAAACAAGTAAATGCTAAATTAATTAATTAAATAAAGGGATGTAAAATCCAGGTCTGCACAAATCAGTATGATGACCTTAAAATCATTTTAACGTTCCTCTCTTAGTCACCCCCAGTCCCATGAAGGGCAAGGGAAAGGGTCGCCCCAGCGCGGCTAAAGCCCTGGAGAAATCCTCGCCCAAAGAGGAAGAGGAGCCCGAGAGCCCCGTGGAGGACGAAGAGGAAGACGAGGTGGAGAAGAAGGACTCCCCGCCCCCAGCCAAGAAGAAGGTGGACGCCCCCGAGGACGAGGAAGACGACGAAGAGGAGGACGGTTCGGAAGAAGACGCTCCGTCTGGGGAAGACTAGCCAGGTTCTAAATGGCAGCCCCACATCTCTCCTTTCTCTTTCTCTCGTTATCTCCCCCACTTTCTTTCTCTGTTGCTTTATTTCTCCTCCGAGGGTTTTGTTTTCAGCGTCTGTGGTGACCTGGCTCAACGGTTTGAACTTTTGAATTGTGTATTTTTGTTTTTGTTTTTGTTTTTTTTTTTGTTTTTTTACAAACCTATAATTTCCATATCAGCTGCATTGTCCCAGGACACATTAGACCCTTATGACATGTATGTGTGCTAGAGAATGTGACCGAATTGGTTTTATTTATCCGTATAAAACTGAGGATCCCCCGTGTTTTAGCTCATCCACTGAAAATGGGTTGCTGCTCTAGATGGTTAGTGTTCTGATTCTTACAGTTTTCTACTAAAGTCCCTATTCGCTCACCCGTTTTACAAGCTCAGATTTATTGAAGTCTACTAGAGTGAATGTCTTGAACGAATCATGCACAGGATATTCTGATATTTTCTTTGCTCTGCCCATTAAGTCGAGTGTGTTAGCAGATAAAACAGTGTCACTTGCCGTAGGAAAGAACTCGAGCCAGGATTAGGAAACACTGGTGGCTCATTTTGCTCTAAAGTGAATCCCAGTGAACTCAAGTTTGCTACATACACTATTTTAGATTCCAGTTTTGTTTTTATTGTTTTCGTTTTTTTTGTTTTTTTGTTTTTTTTGATCTGAATGATCAATGACGGATCAGTGACCGGGGACCCGGACAAAGAAATTTTTTATATTTTTTTTTTGACCTAGTTTTTTTTACTTTGTGCCCCCAGAGGGCTCCAAATCCGGACACCGAATCCAGCTTCCTGTCCTGCGTTTTGTAGCAACTGTTGATGTAACTAATTGGCCAACTAGTGCTCACCTACCAGTGATTACAAATTCCAGCACCGGGACCTGGATTCAGGATCCAGATTTGAACGCCATCCTCTTTCTAGTGGCTTTCAGTGTTTGGAATCGGATCACGTCTGCTTCACAGATGAGGTTTCTGTTCTCGTGTTGAGGTTGCTTTTGGCAAGGTGCCGTCACTTTAGCCATCATCTCAACGGTTTTCATTTTCTCTTTTTTTAAGAAAACTTTTCTTTTCCAAGTAGTTTGAACTGTGCTGTAGTAAGGTTGCTATTTTAAGTGAAAATGTTCAATGGATTGCTCTGTTCTCTGTTTTATTTGTGTTGTTTGTTTTTTTTTTTCCCTCCCCCCGCATTGTTCTTTCCACCCACCAAAACATCTCATGTTGGGACTGCAGTATAAAGTCCCGACGTGCATCGCATGAGTGTATCTGTGTATGTGTGTGTTGGGATGGAGCCTTAAGCAGTGTAACTGTATGGGAAGTGTTCATATGAAGGTTTTTGTGCGCCATGTTTGCCTTGTAACGCCTAGTTTTTGCATATTACTGTGCTGAATGGAGCCCATGCGAGCGTCCTGGTTGCAGCTAGAGATGGTAAATGTAAAATGATGGGGAAACGTTCGAGCACATTAAAGGAATAGTTTGGACAAAAATAATGTACATAATTTGCCACTTATTAGATCAGATCAGGCAAAACATGATTGGTGTCTGTCTAAACTTTTGCTTCTTTGGTTTAGAACTGGAGTTGTGAGGCTAACCTTGCTTACAAACACTACTGCTCAGGTCTCGCCCACTTAACCCAAATCGTTTCCGTAAAAATACATCAACCCACATGCTGGTCTGTGTTGTCCTAAACCACTTTGACAAGTCTGTGCAGCCTTCCTGAAAACCAGAATGTCGGATAAAATACATTTTAGCTGATGTATTTTTATGGAAATGATTTGGGCTGTTTGGGTGACTATAGAGTTCTAGTGTTTGTCAGCAGTGTTGGCTTCAAGTGAAAAAATTGTGTACATGCCAGATTGTTCCTTTAAAAGAGACCTTAATTGACATTTTACATGCTAAGAACAGGACAAAAAGACCATCATGAACAAATCCATCTGATTGAAATGACAACACATGGAGCTTTGATGACTTCTTGTTGATTTATGTATCCGTAAGCGGTTCTTTTGCTAGTTTCAACCATGAAATTTGAGGCTCGATTCCCCTGTTGATGTTGTTATGAGTGGATAGAGTTCCTAACTTCGTCCTCTCTTCATTTCTTTGGTGTGTTTTGCTCCTGGATATTTCCATCAGCTGCTTTGTCCAGCTTCAGTGGGTGCTTTAGGACGCCTACATGTTTGTATGAGGGGCTTCCTGATTTCACTGAAGTTTACTGGGCGCACAGGGCTTTGCTTTTTCATATGCATGAACACCTAAGGCAAAACTAGCATCCTGACATGGTTCAGTCTCTTGTGCCAGGCATCGTGGAGTCCTCCCCACCCACCCACCCCCGTGTGTTGTCTCAATTGGTTTTCAATCCACAAATGGTTAAAGCTCATTCTCCAGAATTTTTTGTAATGTTTGTTTTTTTAAGAAAAGAAATAAAAATGTATCTTGATTTTAAAGAGAAAATGAACTTATCTATGTCTTTTACTGGGAAAAACGTAACAAGATGATCGAGTGCCTCTTTTACCCCAGCTGAATTCAGTAGCCCTTATTTATAATTCCTAGCATTGAAAGTGGTTCCGATTGTGGCAAATCACTGATTGTAATTTACTGTAATTCGTGTTTCAGTACTAGAAGTGGCCATTGATATTTCTATTTTAGCAGCAGCAGCTTCTTTTGATTGGTGTACCAGTTCATTCATCTTGATCTATTGATCTTTTCGTTATTTTGGTGAGAGCTTGTCTGGTTTAATTGTAAATGCATATATACAGTTGGATGCAAAGGTTTGGGCACCAGAGTGAAAAGAAGGGAACACAACCTCTTCAACAAACTATGTTTTTTCTGCAAATGTCGGTGTACAGTTACTTAATATTTGATTAACCTAAAAGATAAAAAATTACAGTAATTGTGCCATTAGACACTCTACTAAGCCAGTACTTAGTAACACAGCTTTTGGCTGATCTCACAGCTCGCAGACACTTTTTGAAGCTAACGACTTTTCACTTTCACCCACTTTTCCTTGTAAAATGCTTCTAGTTTTGTGATATTCTTGGGCCGTCTTGCATGCACAGCATGTTTTAAGATCTACCCACAGTTTTTCAACGATGTTCAAGTCAAGGGACTTTAAGGGTTATTCCAAAAGCTTCAGATTGCCTTTCTCGTGGTAGTTTGTAGTGGAATTTTATGGTTTGGAACATAGTCCTGTCGTAGAAGTCAGCCTCTTTTCAGATTCAGTTTCTTGTTTCTCACTTTTGCTTACAGAATTTGCTGATATTTAGCAGAATACGTTCTTCCATTTACTTATGCATTGCATCCTGCGCCACTGGCCAGCACGCATCCCCAAATCATAATAGATCCACCCCCATGCCGAACAGTTGGCAAGGTGTTCCTTTCGTCAGATGCTGTTCGTTTTTTCCTCCAGGCATGGCTTTGATTAAGGAGTTCTGTTCTTTCTTCATCAGTAAGCAGCCTTTGTTTACACAAAGACTTTGGGATCTAGTTGTTTTGCATACTTCCAACATTGACTTCTGTGATGAGGTCAAGGGTAAGATTTCCTTCTGGTGACTCTTCCATGCAGATTATATTTGTGCAAGTAGAACGTGCACCATTTAACTGTACAGTAGAACAGTGCAGTACTTCAGTGTCAGCTTAACTTTGCTGAGGGTCCTTTGCCATCATGTGGGGGTTTTGCTTTGCCTCTCTGGTCAGCATATAAGCAGTTGGCCTTCCCCTGCTTTGTAGCTTCATCATCAGATTATCAACAAACTGCTAAGAGGAAATGGTTGTTGAGTGTTGGCACAAGGTTTGAAGAGTCAGAGAATTAATTACGCTCTGGGAGTGTCATCAGCTGACGGTTCCTAATGAGTACTCAGTTAAGGCCTAACGACTTAAGTTCTGAGACTTTACAACTGGAAGGGTGTACAAACTTTTGCACATGCCACAATTACTACTTCATTGTTCAGAAAAAATGGGATTTATTGAGAGTTTGCCGCAGAGGATGTTTACTTATTTTCAAAATAAACAAAATATGGAATTTGGCCAGGGGTGCCCAACTTTTGCAGACAACTGTATATACATATCGCTGTTGTTGGAAGAAAACCTTGTATCTCTAAGATGGTGACTTTACAGGAGAAGGAAAAAACCTACTTTACTTTTAATGTAAGTCAATGGAACCAGAATTTTGGGCTGTTTATTTTGGTCCATTCTTCATGAAATTTACACACAATGTAAAGAGCAACATTTTCAGATTATGAAAAACTGAAAAAAATGGAGATACGAGGTTTTCTTCCGACAGCAGTGACATATAGAAGCCATCGAGATTGGATGAAATGTGTATTTACATCCCAGATAGATCCAAAGCAAATCTTAGATTAAGCTCTTTACTGGTACCATGTTTCTTTGAACGAAGTCCAACAGTTAACAGGTCTTGAGCTCTAGTTTGATAATCTATTGATATTCTATTTTTTTTATTTGTTTTTGTTTTCCGTGGACGTGAATCCTTAAGAGAGTTAATGACGCTTAATAATAACGCTCGTGTAAAAAGTGATCTTTCTGGTCAGAAAGTCGATTCTACCAGCTGCACTGCGCTGTCGCAACTTCTAACAGCTCCTCAAACGCCTCCCGTTCTGTCCGAATCGTAGAGTTGTGGTCTGTGGAGCATTTTGTCGTCAGTCCGCTCCGTTGTGTTCTCAGTTCACTTTGTCTGAATGGCAGTGGTCATTTTTCTAGTCTTCTGCTTTGGCAGTGGTCGCCTAATGAACAGGACCACACGGCTGAATCTTTTGCAGACACCGCCGCAGGTTCTGAGTTTTATATTTGAAATCGAGGCTGAAATGAATCTTTTCAAATCGCTCATTAGGGATCAGTTACATCTTTATGAATCACTATTACAGAATGGCTGGGGGTCCGTGAGCTTTACGAAGCCATTTCTCCTCAGCAGCAGAGCCTGACTGGGACTGTACATAAAAAAAAAAATGTTTTTAAATACTCATTTTTTTTTCCTAAAAGCAGTTTTAAGTGGACGCATGCACATCAAGTGGACAGCCATTGGAGAATTCTCATTGTATATTATTGATGGCTTTTTTTTGTTTTCATTTATAATGTCCAAACCTGGAGAATCCAGTATGCTAATCTACATTTTGGGCTAAGTCTGTGTCTGTGGATAGAAAACAATTGCTTAGCTTGTCAAGTTGTTTTGTTTTTGTTTTTTTGTTTTTTTTTTTTTAAACCTTGTTCACTTTCAGTCGAATTCTGAAGTTGCCCGTGGGACGAATTGTGGTGGAAAGTGTACATACAGATAAAACTGTCCCTGTTGGTCAAGGCTGAGGGTCTTTGTCAATAGAAGGGCTGTGCATGCCGGGAAATACAATGTGACGACGGCAATAACGTGATCTGTACGCTGAAGTGACAAAGATGAAGATTATGATTCCTGGTCTGTAATAAAAGCAACATAATTTTTATACTGTTTTAACTAGTTTGTGATTCTCAGTTTTGTGTGTTGATACAGAGAACGAGCCAGTTAGTCTTTTTCAGAGCTGATGTCTAATTTTAAAGCTGTTCTGAGTGGTTTAATATGAAACGCTCCATTCTTGAGAAATTCCGAGTCTGAATTGTTCACAGCGGTGGTGAAAGGGACCAGAGGTGCCTTAAAGCTACCTTTTAAATGTATTACTTGACAATGATCATGAATTGTTGCTTTTGAGATTAAGGTTTTGGCCTAAACCCTAATTTTAATCCATTCATGGTGGAGATGTACATGCAGGATGATGTAGGGCAGTTTTTTTTTCTATATTATATTTTATTCATGAGTCTACGCAGATACAGGATTACAGACACTTGTATGCACCAATCAGGTGTGACCACCTCCTTGTTTCTACGCTCATTGTCCATTTTATCAGCTCCACTTATTATATAGGTGCACTTTGTAGTTCTACAGTTACAGACTGTAGTCCATCTGTTTCTCTGCATACTTTGTTAGCCCTCTTTTACCCTGTTCTTCAGTGGTCAGGACCCCCATGGACCCTCACAGAGCAGGTACTATTTGGGTGGTGGATCACTCTCAGCACTGCAGTAACACTGACGTGGT